TCAAGATTAGATTTGCCCTGCAGGAAGTACTCAGAACTGCATTATACATGGAGCCCAAATACCACAATGGCTCAAATGGTAAAACAAAGCAATAAAGTTCTGCTCAACAGGATGAAAAGAAATCCACCCCATTTATCAATCCTTTCAATAAATGTGAATGGCTTGAACTCCCCACTCAAGAGATATAGGCTGGCTGAATGGTACAAAAATACAAGCCAAGTATCTACTGTCTCCAGAAAACACATCAAACCCACAGGACTTATTCAGACTCAAGGTGAAGGGATGGAAAACAATATTCTGTGCAAATGGAAATCAAAACAAAGCTGGTGTAGCCATTCTCATATCAGGTAACATAGACTTCAAATCAGTAAATGTAAAGAAAGACAAAGATGGTCATTATATGACGGTGAAGGGAACAATTCAACAAGAAGAAATAATAATCCTAAATACTTATGCACCTAACACAGGTGCACCCAGATTCATAAAGCAAACTCTACTTGATCTAAACAAAATAATAAACAGCAGCATCATAATAGCCAGGCACTTCAACACCCCACTGACAGAATGGGACAGATCCTCCAAGCAGAAAATAAGCAAGAAATGATGGAATTTTTTAAAAATTTTTTTTGTTTTATTTCAGGGTATTATGAGGGTACAAACATTATGGTTACATTTTATGTCTTTGCCTCACCCAAGTGAGGGTTAGAGTCATGCCCTTTCCCTCTCCAATGCTCCCTGTGTCCGTTAGTTGCAGGTTTACCCCCTCCATTCCCCTAATCCCTGGAGAGTATTACTACCATGTGAGCCCCCTAGTGTTTATCAGTTAGTACCAATTTGATGGCAAGTACCAGTGGAGCCCATTCTTCCAATCTTAGACATGATGGAATTAAATGGAACTCTAAAACAAATGGGCCTAATAGATATTTACAGAATATTCTGCCCCAAAACCACTGAATATACATTCTTTTCATCAGCTCATGAAGCATTCTCTAAGATTGATCATATCCTAGGTCACAAAACATGTCTCAACCAATTAAAAAAAAAATAGAAATTATACCATGTATCTTCTCAGACCACCATAGAATAAAATTAGAAATCAATTCCAACATAAACACTCAACTCTACACAAAGTCATGGAAATTAAACAACCTATTTCTGAATGATTATTAGGTCAAGGAGGAAATTAAGATGGAAATCAAAAGATTCTTTGAACTAAATGACAAAGTGGATGCAAGTTATCAAAATCTGTGGGATTCAGCAAAAGCAGTCATAGGAAGAAAATTCATAGCCATAAATGCCTACATCCAAAAGACAGAAAGATCACAAATCAACAATCTAATGAGTTGTTTCAAGGAATTAGAAAAGGAAGAGCAAAAGCCAAACTCAGCAGAAGAAAAGAAATAACTAAGATCAGAGCAGAACTAAATGAAATTGTAATAAAAGGATTATATGGAAGATTAAAGAAACAAAAAGGTTGTTCTTTGAAAAGATAAACAAAATCGATAGGCCTCTTAGTAGATTAACCAGAAACAGAAAAGAACAGACCCTAATAAGCTCAATCTGATATGAAAAAGGAGATTTTACAACTGATACCACAAAAAACCAAAATATCACTTCTGAATACTATAAAAATCTCTGGGCACATAAACTTGAAAACCTTGAGGAAATGGACAAATTCTTAGAAACATATAGGCTCCTTAGGCTTAATCAGGAAGAAATAGAACTCCTGAACAGACCAATATCAAGTAATGAAATTGAAGTAGCAATAAAAAAATCTCCCAACAAAAAGTCCTGAACCAGATGGTTTCACAGCTGAATTTTACCAGACTTACAAAGAAGAACGAGTACCTATACTGCAGAAATTATTTCATAGCATAGAGAAGGAAGGAATTCTCCCCAACTCATTCTATGAAACCAATATCACCTTGATACCAACAAAAAAAGAAAACTACAGACCAATATCCCTTATGAATACAGATGTAAAGATCCTCAATGAAATCCTAGCACTGAATTCAGTTGCACATCAAAAAATAATCCACCACAATCAAATGGGCTTCAGCCCAGAGATGTGAGGATGGGTCAACATATACAAATCTATAAATTGATCCACCACATAAATAGAAGCAAAAACAAAGACCATATAATCCTCTCAATAGACACAGAAAGAGCATTCAACAAAATTCAGTCCCCTTTTATGATAAGAACTCTTCATGAAACAAGCATAGATTGAACATAACTCAATATTATAAAAGCTATATATGACAAGCCCATCAGCCAACATCATACTGAATGGGGAAAAACTGAAAGCATTCCTGCTTAGAACTGGAACCAGACAAGGTTGCCCAGTGTCACCACTTCTGTTCAACATAGTGCTGGAAGTGCTAGCCAGAGCGATCAGGCAGGAGAACAAAATCAAGGGCTAATAACCAGAATTTACAAAGAACTCAAGTGAATCAGCAAGAAAACATCAAACAACACCATTAAAAAGAGGGCAAAAGACATGAACAGAAGATTTTCAAAAGACGATAAACTAATGGCCAATGAACATATGAAAAAGTGCTCAATGTCTCTAATCATCAGGGAAATGCAAATCAAAACCACAATGAGATATCACCTAACTCCAGTGAGAATGGCTTTTATCAGAAAGTCCCAAAACAACTCATGCTGCTGTGGATAAGGAGAGAAAGAAAGGAACATTTATACACTGTTGGTGGGACTGCAAACTAGTACAACTGCTATGGGACGTCGTATGGAGATACCTCAAAAAACTAAAAGTTGACCTACCATTTGATCCAGGAATCCCACTACTGCGTATTTACCCAAAGGAAAAAAATGAAAAACATTTTATATAAAAAGGCACTTGTACTCGAATGTTTATAGCAGCACAATTCCCAATTGCAAAGATGTAGAAACAACCCAAGTGCCCATCAATACATGAGTGGCCTAACAAAATGTGATGTATATATACCATGGAGTATTACTCAGGCTTTAAAAAAGTGGTGAATTAATACTTTTTGTAACAACCTGATGGAACTGGAAAAGATCCTTTTAAGTGAAGTGTCACAAGAATGGATAAACAAGCACCACATGTACTCACTACTAAATTGGAATTCATTGATGGACACTCATGTGCACGTATGGCAGAAAAATTCAATGAAAATCAAGAAGATGGGAGGGAAGAAGATGGGATGGGCAAACTCACACCTAATGTGTACAATGCACACTATATGGGTGATGCATGTACTTATTATACTGTACAAAAGCAATTCATGTAACCAAAACATATGTATCCCCATAATATTCTGAAATTAAAAAAAAGAACAGTGATGCTTTAAAAAAAGTTATGTATAAATTATCTTAAGGCCCATTTTAGAAATTATTAGTATCATATTGTATGTCTGGCTATTGGTCCTCCATGTCATTTTTTAAATTTATAAAATTGTCTCTTTAATAAAACAGCAATTTGGTTGGTTTTGAACGGGACTTTGATAGTTAAAGGAATCACTGTTGAATGACAATCTGTGAACAATATTTGTGAATATGGCAGCATATTCTTCAAGCTCCTTAGGGAATCATAATCTGTTTGTGAGTTGCTGAGATTTTACTAACTTATTTTCTATTGCTGAGCACCACGCTGCCGCAGTCGGCATTGCCTGAGGAATTGGTATCAAGATGGAAGGGTCAGTAGGGAAAGTGACTTAGAATCTCTAGACCTGGCCACATTGGAGGGAAAGATGATTCGTGGGGTCTTTGGATTCATTTATGTTCTCTTTATACTGGAAAGTCTGTGACAGTTTTTAAAGAGGGATGACCTTGTGAACATTTACAAAGAGAGGTGACAATCCTCATTTATCATATCTTTTTCTTTTTTTTTTCAGCCTCCTCCATCACTTGGCCCTTCCCCAGTTCTGTAGAAACTTACCCTCTTTGGGGTTCTAGTTAATAATAGTGATAAGAATGGAACCTCTAATCATAATGAGATACCTACAAGCTCAAAAGGACCTTAAGACATAAAGTTATGAATCACTAAGGAAAAAAATCCCCTTCAAAGCATTTTTATTAGAGGAAGAATCACTTTCCCTTTTTATCACAGATTGAAGGTGGCCTCTGCTTTGGCCACTGGCTTCATCACAGAACTTTTCCTTCCTACCTGGCACCTTGATCCAATTTCCTCAGGTTTTCAGTGAATTTTATTATGGGACAACAGAGTTCAACATTTATTGTCTCTGTTAATGAAACCTATGCACTAGCATCTAGCCGATCCCTCTGATGAAGCTCTCTACCTGCACCTGATCCATCTCACCCTCCCCCAAAACACCCTCACCTGACTCCTACTCATCCTTCCATTTTTGGCATGTCATTTTCTCTCAGAAGCTGGGTTCGATGTCCCTGCTCAGACTTATCATAATAATTAAATAACTGATAACAAAACAATGTGCTGATTGCCCATTTCTCCCTTTAGATATTAAGATTTGTAAGGGCAGAAAAATATCTACTTTTTTTCACCATTAGGTTTCCTGGGTCAAATATATTAGTTTTCCTGGGTCAATGCCTGGTCTTGGCATTGGAGGGATTCAATAAATACTTGTTAACTTGAGTGGATTTGCTCTTGTCTCTACTTGTTAAAAACAGTTGCACACTCTATTTCATATTGGTGACTGATTAGGGATAAGAGAGTTTGTCTTTCTTGAGTCTGTATCATCTGTGGTTGAGAAACACATTAATGTCTATGTGAATGGCACAGAGAGATTATGGCAATTGAGAGAGTTCCCACCCCAAATTGGAATCTTAAAATCTGCAAAGTGCACAGCTTTTTTAAGCATGAAATTCTTGGAATCCATTAACAAATAAATACATCTTCATTTTATAATACAGCAGGTCTAGAGATTATGAGACAACATGGAATATACTTGAGGAATTCATTAGATGAATGGCAGGTCATTTGGCACACTAATATACTCCTAATGGGGTTTGTTCACAATCTTTCTGTTTTATTGCAGCCGGGGCACTGACAACAGACTGGCCCACCGGCGGCAGACAGTTCTCCGAGAGAAGGGGAGAAGGTTAGCTAATCGAGGACCAGCATACATGTTTAATGATCGCTCAACAAGCCTATCTATTGAGGAGGAACGCTTTTTAGATGCAGCGGAATATGGCAACATCCCAGTGGTGCGGAAGATGTTAGAAGAATGCCTCTCGCTCAATGTCAACTGTGTGGATTACATGGGCCAAAATGCCCTGCAGCTGGCAGTGGCCAATGAGCATCTGGAAATTACAGAGCTTCTTCTCAAGAAAGAAAACCTCTCTCGTGTTGGGGATGCTTTGCTTCTAGCTATTAGTAAAGGCTATGTTCGGATTGTGGAAGCAATTCTCAGTCACCCAGCTTTTGCTGAAGGCAAAAGGTTAGCAACTAGCCCTAGCCAGTCTGAACTCCAGCAAGATGATTTTTATGCTTATGATGAAGATGGGACACGTTTCTCCCACGATGTGACTCCAATCATTCTGGCTGCCCACTGCCAGGAATATGAAATTGTGCACACCCTCCTACGGAAGGGTGCTAGGATTGAACGGCCTCATGATTATTTCTGCAAGTGCAGCGAATGCAACCAGAAACAGAAACATGACTCCTTTAGCCACTCCAGATCTAGGATTAATGCCTATAAAGGCCTGGCAAGTCCAGCTTACCTGTCGTTGTCTAGTGAAGATCCAGTCATGACGGCTTTAGAACTTAGCAATGAGCTGGCAGTGCTGGCCAATATTGAGAAAGAGTTCAAGGTAGGTTGTTAATAATAGGTTCTTCACCCTCCACAAGTCAAAGTTAAGATGCATTTTAAGCTTCCACGACGTGCTTGACACTGTGCTAGTTATTGTGGACACTAGGTGATTTTATATGTTTATTCAACAAGCTCTTTATTATATTCATCGTGGTAAAAGTCGTGATCACTACCATTTAGTGATGATCTACTATCTGCCAGACATTTTACATTTATTATGCCTAATCCTTATCAAAACCTTGGAGAGATATTATTAGTTCCTGTTTAGATGGAGAAATGGAGGCACAGAAGGGTTCAGTGAGGCCCACGATCAATAACTGGGAAATGACAGAGCTGGGGTCAGAACCCAGAATCCAGGTGTGCTGCATTCTAAAACCCATGTTTTTGCTCCTATAAAATACTGTCTTTGTGTTCAGAGCACAGTGGTAGATGCTGTTGAGGTCAGAAAGAGGAATAAGTTTAAGGAAGTCACAGTTGACTTGAGAGACAGATGCATACATGAATAAATATGATACAAAGCAAAATGAAACCATTAGGTAGAGCTTAAGCAATGTGCCGTAGAAGTTCAAAGAAAGCAATATTTAATTCCTATTAGGATTAAGGGAAGTTATATGCCGAATGGCACTTCAGTTGTACATGGTAGAGCAAATAGGATTTTGGAAGACAGGGAATGAGAGAAAAGATATTTTAGGCCAAGGTAACAGCAAAAGCAAGATGTTGTAGATATGAAAGAAGTAGGCACTTAGAACTTTGAACAGTCAGTCCCTTAATAAAAAGTATCTGGAGAGATAAATGGTGTCAGGTACTGCCATTGTCCATGTGGTCTGTGCTGCATTTGGGCAGGAGGAAAGCTGGGATTTCTAGTCCAAGATCATGCCCACACACACCTCTAAACACCCTCCACAGCTTGTCTAACCTATCCTTATGGTGTTGATCATGTTCTACTCTGCATTATCATTATTTATGACGTGCTTTACTCCTTTACTAAACTATATGTGGGTTGGAAGCAGGTCTGCTTCATCAGGTACAGTGTTTTACAAAAATGAATATCGACTTTATTTTCTCTATTCTATATGTTGTGAGAAAGCTTGTCTCCATACTCCACACCTTGGGAGATTGCAGCCCAGTCTCTCCTGGACAGCTTCTTAGTGCCACTGTCACTGGAAGAATGGTGTTCCACTGCAGTATGGGATGTCATGTGTCAGTCTATCCTCAGGTCCTGTCTATCCAGGGAGGGGAGAAGAAGGCAAATGGCTGAGGAAACCCTCAGTGTGCGCGTGGCTCCCAGTGCGAAGGAAGGTGCTTTCCACCCAGTTACCTGGCAGCTAAGACTGTAGGACAAGCAAATAATCCTTTCCAACCCTGTTTGAGTATTTCCTACTTTTCACTTGACTCCTACGACCTGGTGCTTCAAAGAACTTTGCCAGATTCAAATTAAAGCAGTTCCTTTGAACTCTGATTCATATTAATTATCTTTTTCACTCTTTATTTCATTTTCAGTAATTTCACTACTTAGGTTTCAACAGTTATGTTTCCTTATTACATGCTTGTTTGAACACTTTCTCTAAACCACTGAAGACTATTACATTCATTTGTTCACTTGCCTACATCTTCTGAGTCCCTGTTTTGTACCAAACATTGTACTGGGGATAGTTGAGGATGGAGATGGAGACATAGTGCAAAGCACAAAGACAATCTAGTCAGTAACCTTGCCCTGGATTAGTTTATAATCTCATGGAGGAGAAAAAGCCTGTGTGTGGTAATTATCGTATTAGGCATGATCTCATGGTGTGAGGTGTGGGCTAGTGGCTCAAAGGTGAGAAGAATCACATCTATCCAGGATGTGAACACTTCCTTGTCCCTAGATGCATTGCAAAATGTAGAGGTCCCCATGGGAACAAGAAGATTTAGGGATCTGGACTTTTATTCTTTTATTTGTTCATCACATATGTCCTTCTGCTCATGTAGGTGTGAGGTATATGGATCAGTCACTTGGCCTTCATTCGTGGTTTCTCTGTTAGTTCTGCTGTCATTAGCAGTTACTTAGATGCTCTAAACGAGCATACCCTTTTGTTAATGCCCTGCCTCTGTGCAGGTTTGAAGGCAACAAAAAGATAAATTTCTCTGAAAACATAAATCTCTTCAGTAGTACGTTATTCTTAATGTCTTTTTAAAATCACTTTGAAAAATTAAATTAGTTTACTGTTAGAAGAGGGGTGGCAGTTTTAAAAATATTTTTAAAAGTCTACCCTACCACTACAAAGTTTTTCTAATTAGAAACTTGACTCAACATTATTGCACAAAGAGACAGGGAAGTTCTTGGCATTTTTTACAAAACTTTTAGCAACACAAAACAATAACAACAAAAATTGTTCCTTGCCGGATAACAAGCATTAAAACAAATATTCTATTCTCCGAGACTAATTTGGGCAGCTGAGGAAAGAACAGCCTTAGATGAGGGCAGGCCACGATTGCCTTTGTGTGTAAACCCTGAAGGAAACCACGTTCCCTACCACCCATGGTTACTGTGACACTAACTCTGTTCCCAGCATCCCAGCCTCAGTTTACAACAGGTGGCACCTAGCAGGGCTAGAGAAGTTAATGTCTCTGAGGTGAGCTTTTCTGCTACATGTGCTACTTCTACTCTTCAAAAATAACATCCTTTTTCTTATTTTTAAATAATATATAGCCATGTTAGAAAATAATAATATAAAAATAAAATTTTAAAAATCATTCCTAATTTTGCCACCAAGAAATAAACACTAATAAGGGGTAAATTTGCTGACACATATCCTTCCAGTCTTTTTTTAAAATATAGTCAAGCCCCTTAGAATCTCAGGAAGCAAAAATCGTAGAGACTGGACAACCCAGGCCTAGGCTACCTCACAGGGACCTGAGAGATTGCATTGGCCACAGGGCATCCTCCCTACTATGGTCTTCAAATTATTTTGCTCCCTTTTCACTTAAAGATATTTGAAAAATTATGTGCTTGTTTACACATTTTAAAATTGATAGCTAATTTTTTTCTTTTGTAAGTTTAAAGTATTTTAAGGGATATGATTTCTGCATGGTATACATATTGCCATTTAAAAATAGAACTCTTAAATTACTCCTTCACATATATCCAGGGGACTCTAAATGCTATAATAATTTGATGCCCACCATCACCCATTTTAAAAATAAGTAAACAACCTCTTCTTTAACATTCAGAATAACTGCATCTTTCCTGTTTCTCCTTGTGCTTATACTTCCAGTCCAATTTCCTCCACAAATGCGATTCCTAATGTAATAACTTTTTGTTGTGAAGTCTCTTATAATCACCTATATACACATTAACATATATATAGATAAAACATATAACACGTATATGTATATATGAAATTAGAATTTGTTTTATTTACTGTGATTGTAAGGCTCTAGATATTAGAAATGTTCTGGAAAGAGTTACCATTACATCTATTATTGGTACATTTGATCAAATCCACATAAATTGAACCCAGTTGTTCAAAAAAACAAATATATACACATTTTGAAAAACAAATTTTAACTATATGACAAAATTCTTATTGGTAATGCATTTTTAGTGGTATTAATTATGTTCACACTTTTGCTATATTTAATGAAAAAAATGTATGTTTGTATAAATACATATATACACAGACATATATAGCTAAAAACTACTTGCTATGGCTGCCAGCATGTTATTTTAGTCTTTGTTAATAGGATATATAAATTATTAAAGATTTTATGGAATAAAATTAGAAGAAGGTCGATTGTAGTTGGAAAAAGCATTTCTTGATATGATTTCATAACTTTCTTACTGAATTACAAATGCTGAATCTGAAAGAAATCACATAAAAGTTTTATCCATGAGTTTTGGCCAAAGTCCTGTCAAAATTTGAGTCCTAGAAACCATTCCAAATCACATTTAAAAGAATCATCCTCACTAACCTTTTCTGACTTGCCCGTTTGAGATGCTTTTTATTCAAGATAATAATACATCTGAAAGTTGAGTATTAAGAATAATTTAAAAGAATCATTTACATTTAAATACATGAAAATGCAGTTTTTTTGTATTTAATATTCCCTACTAGTGCCTTCTTTTCTCTGCTTTTACTGGACTCTGACTCAGAAGTGTGCATTCTTTGATGATTATTGGCAAATGAAGAGGTGAGTGCAGGTCCTTGGCTCCTGCTTGGCATTGAGCATTGCTTTCTCGTACCTATCGTATGTGAGGTAGCTATGAGTTCTTCCTATGAATTGGTATTTTTTCCTTTCATAGGAAGACCCTCAAACCATTCACTGGTTGTAGTTTCCGAGGCTGAATTCCTTCCCAGCTCTAATTTGATTTGTTATGATCTTCCATTCATCAGCTTTTAAGGCTGGTTTTATTTTCCTTTCATATTCTTATGAAAGTGTTCTCCCATTTTCCTCCATGAATGATCTGTTGTTGTTTCTGGAAACACTCTCCTAATCAATTGGGGCATTGAGAACAATCCCTCAAGATTCATCACAAGCTCTGATACTTTTCAGACATCAACTTGCATGTCCAGTATGGACAATTCTCAGTCTCTGGGAGGAAGGCACTCCATTGTGTTACCATCGGGGCAATGAAAGGACTCCCTTGCTATACAGATTTATCAGGTACTCCAGTTTTGAACTCCAGAACTGGAGTCTTTTGTCACACAGACATGACTATGAGCTCCATATTCCAGAGCACCTTACTTGGTCTCTCCAACTCTACTCACCTTTCTTCTCTTTTTACTTGCTATCTCTGTTCCTGTTGGATTTCTAGCTGAATACCCATCATACCAAATTATCCTGAGTGAAAACCATACACTCTTTCCAGGATTGGTTGTTTGGTGACTTGGTTGTGTTCTCAGACAAAAAATTGCTTAGGAATTGTTTGTATAATTAGTCTGCCTTTGATTTGAGATTTCATCTCTAGCTTTTATACTTATCTTCTACCTCCTTGGTAACTTCCACCTACTTAGGAAGGTT